GCCTCCAACCTAATATCAATGGCCTCCAACCTAGAGATGGCCTCCAACCTAATAGCAAATCATGCATTCTGCTCATGATCGATGTCACCCAAGGTTATTCACGCTTCTAGTGGGGTTTTATGTTTCTGGCTCAGTGAAGCAGAAGAAACCCCACTTGACCCCAAAACTTCAGCCCTTCCTTTTCTCCTGCACCAGCCTCAAAAAGAAGGCCTTAGGTCTTGCAGCAGACCACCCGGTGACCATCCCCAAGTACAATTGCTGCCTTGACTGCTTCTGGACAGTGCTTTGGAAAAGTCCTGATGAACGTCCAGAATCGTCCTTTGACCGATCTCAGGATTCGATCACATCCCTGAAAACCTCGAAGAAAGGTGCCGGATCTCGTGCTCCTCCTTTGGAGGACCAGACGGGGCGACCGGCAGTTGGCGACCTGCAAGTGCTCCATATTCAGCATAACTCTCCTAATAGCGGTGGCCTCCAACCTAGTAGCAAAAGATCAAGCAGTAGGTGTGTGACCAAAACCTGCACCCCTGCAGCCCATCCCTGAGTCCGTCATGCAATGGGTGCCACGACCGCCAGACCGCCACTTCTGAGGACTTCTGCTCCGTGCCGGTAGAGCACAGGAAGGCGATGATCGATGACTCACCTCCAAGGCCTCAGTTGAGGGCACCGACTCCTCAGGTGCCTTGGGCAGAGGAAGGTACGTTGGATTGGATGAGCAAGAAATAAGAAGAAGCTGTGAATTCAAAGGAAAGGAGACGGAAAGTATTTGCAGAATCTATAGAACCATTTAAAGAAATTGGAAATTGGAAAAGGAACGCCAAAAATACAAACAAATGATACATGATAAAGGATCAAAATACTAGAAAAGGAAAAATACAAACAATAGAAATGCCTCAAGTTTGCAATATGCACGTTCTTGCTTCGATCTCGGTCTTGGCCTGTTTGTCGCACGCACTGGAATTGCTTTTCTAAGTGAAACAAGAACCTGTGCTTCTTTTAGACGTGTTAGCTTTTTCTTTGTTATTTTGTTTATTCATTCCTTTGCTACGGGGGCACGTGCAGACAGCTGCAGAACCGAAGTTGCATGCGACAATGAGTCAAACGCCCAAGGCCTTCCCAGAACGCGTGGCTTCGGCAGCCCCAGTGCCCACCGTGCCCGGCGACATGCCCCGGATGGGGACCACAGCATCATCTCAGGTGCAGACGTCGGAGGAACGGAGGTAGTAACAAGAAGCCACTAGTAGCAAAGGGCATCGCTACTAGGAACAAGAAGCTACTAGGGGCTCCTGGCCTTACTACTAGAAACAAGAAGCTAGTAGAAACAAGTGCCACGCTACTAGTAACAAAGGGCATCGCTGCTAGGAACAAGAAGCTACTAGGGGCTCCTAGGAGCAAGGACGCTACGAACGGGGCTCCCATTTTGCGGACCCCCTGTGCAGGCCTCCACGCCGTGCAAGAGGACCACGGCAATATCTAAGGCACCTTTGGAGGGTGGGCGGGAGTGGTGTTCAGAATGGTCCTTTGCGTGGACTTTGGATGGAATCACCAACACCTCGTAGACCAAGTTTGACGTATTGACTAGTCTTGGAAGCTCAGGGTGTTCATCGAGCCACATGGCCCAGCTACCAAGATCTCAAGAGAGAACTGGGTGACTAAGTGACTAGGGTTTTAGCTGATTTGTTTCAAGAACGCTACATGGCTCCATTGCAATACAAAACAAAGTTGTATCCTTCCAAGATCGTCAAGACAAGCTTGAACCAGTTTGATTCAGGACTTCCAGCAAGGCACCATCTTGCCGACGCACACAGACATGCCACGGCAGAAGACTACGGCGACATCCAAGGCACCTTTGGAAGGGTTGGAGAAAGGAGGAGCGGAACCATATTGGCTAAAGCGCAGCCAAGTGGCCGAGAAACAATAGCAGGTGCTGTTTGAAGATGCGAAACAGGAGGCTGTTTTTTCCCCAGCAGTCTGACCAGACGGGGCGATTAGGGCGATTTGGTAAGGATATGACTTGAGCAGTGAACTGCGTGTCAATGAGCAGCCCAAAACAACAACGGCAGACCTCGAGTACTATCAAGTAATAACTTAATGAATGGTAAAGCATTCTCGGCAGTTGAAGGAAACAATGCCGCTTTTGCAAACTTAAACAGTGGATTAATTCCCACGAAATCCCAATGGCAAAACTGCCCCCAACAGCCCAACACCCGATCCAACAAATCCGTGAGGTGTGGCGCATCGTCTCCGGGATGACAGGCTTCTTCAGAGGCCAGAGAAAGATTCATCCTGAGACTGGCTTCGACCACCGGCAATGACAGCTCGTTGGCTCCAAGTCGCACATGCTGTGCCAGACTGGATAGCTGTGTGATCTTCTTTTTTCCAAATCATTCTCAGGCCAGGAGGCTTGATTGAGGCTGGCAGCAAAACCGGATGTTGAAAAATGCATCAAAGGAAACACCTTCAGGTAGGTGCAGAGGAGACTGAACCAGCTTTGTTGCCTCCAAGCTTAAAATCCGTTGAGAAAGGCTCTTTCTTCATTTTCCGATCAAAGGGTCCAAATTGAAGATGCATCGGGAAGCCAATGCTAGAATGGCCGATTGGCCATGCCGATTGGCCATGATAGCTCACTTTTATAGTTTCCCACGACAGATGTTATACAAGGATGTCATCGTCTTGCCGCGATTCCACCGCACTGCGCTACGACATGTTTTTTGCTCCCGAAACTCTTGGTATTTGTTGACTGAGTTCCACCCACCAAAGAAAGAAGGAAAGAAAAGCACAAAGCAACATGAGCGTGTGAACCACAAAATCGAACGGCAAGAGTGGAACCACAATGAGTAGATTGGCCACCCCTCTGTTGGAGGCCATCGCAATTAGAAACAAATAAAAAAGAAAAGAAAATAATATCTTTTATAGTTTGCTAGTAGGTTGGAGGCCATTGCTACTAGGGTGGAGGCCATCGCTATTAGGTTGGAGGCCATCGCTCTCAGGTTGGAGGCCATCTCTAGTAGAGTGGAACCACAAGGAGCGAGCGGTGTGTGATTACGTCAGATCAGTGCGGTCCCCACTCAGATCTTCAGCGATTACGTCCAAGACCTGAAGATGAACTTCTGATTCTGGCCCTTCGTCTTCAATTTTTTTGTTCCTTCAGGATCTGAAAAAGCTCTCACAAATGCTATTTGATATGTTGTCTTGTTGCTATGTTTACTTCGGAAGCTTTCCATTTTTCCTTACTAGTCAACCCCCTCACTCCTACCAAGTGAGTGTCTATAGGTCCTATAGGTAAAAGCGTGTATCTATATCTATATATACTTCTGTTCTGGTGGCCATGTTTACCACAAGGGACTTCAAATCTCGGCACATTCCTTCAAACTCGCTCATTATCCGATAACTGACCGGGTTCTCACCAAACAGTTAACTCCCGCAAAATCTATATTCAGACAATGCGCACCTCGTGCTGCTTGAAATTCAAAAAAACAGAAGCAGAACTCTTGCGTACAACTAGACTCATGGCCATTTTCTGGAACAAAACATGTGCAGTGCAGTGGCCCAGCCAGTCGGCTAGCTTCCTTTGGTCGCAAAGCACTATGATTTCAGTCGTCGACGTGATGTCGTGTATAGCAAGAACACAGCTCGAGGCTTGACAATTTTTGAGGACCAACAGCAACAGAGATGGATTCAGCGCATCCCAAGTGGGTTTTGTGGTTGCAGGCCGATAGCAACGTGTATGGTTCAATTCTTCTTTGCAAGACTGCAAGACTATTTGAGCTGTGTTCTGTTGACCCGTTGTTGTGAGCAGGCAGAATGCTGGCAATAGCATCACGCATAAAGTTGGGGTTCTTTCAAAGCAATCAGAGATGCGATAAATATAACTTTACATTTTGCCTTCACACGGGGTCAGTGAGCAGGATCCTCACCTTTGAACCAAACGGGACGCTCACTCCTGCGTTCGGTCAAACCTGGTTGTTCTCTTTGAGTGATCTCCACCGAAGGAGACTCCGCCGGACAAGTATTTATATAACTGTGTATGTGTTTTGATTGAGATTCTTCAAACCAATCCTGCTGGACAAGTTGAGTCAGTTTTGGACCTGGGAGAAATCGTTTCCTTGCGTCAGTCTTGTTGAGCTACAGCATGGGCCCCAATGAGCCACATATCCCAAGCTACCGATGAAAGTGGCAGTGGGCCACCAACACTTAGCACTCCAACCTAATAGCGATATGGCCTCCAACCTAGTAGGAATGGCCTCCAACCTAATAGCGATATGGCCTCCAACCTAGTAGGAATGGCCTCCAACCTAATAGCGATATGGCCTCCACCTATACTTGCGATGGCTCGTGAAGATGTTCCTTCCCTCAAGAAAGGTTTGAGCCACGCTCCACGGAGCTGGTTTGAGCTTTGCCATGAGATTCGGACAGATGCCCCGCGGATCCGGAAGATGCTGAGGGATTCGCCCACCGATTCAGAGCCGTGTGGAAAGATATGTGATAGAGGCATCGTGTTTGCATGTGTCTTTTTAAGCGGGAGACCAGCAAATATGATTCGGATTGGGTTGAGGTGTCAGCAAGAACTCTTTATATTGCGCAGGGTGGCAGCAAGAACTTTTTTGATTGCGCACCAGCAGCTGTCAACCTTCAGCAGTCTCGCAGCTTGCAGTGTCCAAAAGGATGCTATGTAAGGTGCAATACCTTTACGATCGCATGGATTGGATAAAGCTGCAGGGAGTAGAACCAACAGAGCAGTCTCGGGCAATGCAAACTATGCACTTGGTACTTGCGAGATGGGGCATTTTTAGCAATCAGTCAAAATCGTACTTTGGAATGCTTATGTTGTGAATAGCAAGGCAGGCAGTTGTGTTCTTTTTATTCTCACGAAAGCACTAAGATTCTTCTCCAAAAGCGAAACTCACTTGTGACGCCTGGGGTTACAAGTAGCGTCCTTGCTCCGTTCATAGCGATGCCCTTTGCTACTAGTAGCTTCTTGCTCCTAGTAGTAAGGCCAGGAGCCCCGTTCGTAGGGTCCTTGCTCCTAGTACGACAGATCGGAAGTCGTTCAGGTGGACTTCAGACATCGCCGGAGCGGTTTTGGATGTCGAGGCGCTGGAGATCACACCACGCGGAAGTGGTGCCGAGGCCACTTCGTGAAGGATGTTTTTTGGTTCATTGGGAGGTGAAGGATGCGCGGTTTGCTGAATCGAAAAAGGTATGTAGAAGGTTGTGTTCAGAACAGAGAGAACCTATAAAGCACATAGGAAAAGAAGAAGTCTGCTTTGAACATGAATGATAATTGGGGGGCGGAGATGGGCGGAGGGAGTGGAATGCTGAGTCAAGGGCATGCAAGCCTGGCACAGCTAGTCACCAGCAACCCTACTAGCAAAAAGCATGCTTTGAGTTATTAGGAGCGATGGCCTCCAACCTAGAAGCGATGGCCTCCAACCTAGAAGCGATGGCCAACCCACTTGGAGCTCGAGAAGTCCGTAGACTTTGTTGTTTGCCTGTTTGACTCTCAAAATGTTGCCTGTCTACTGAAAATGAAACTGCGCAAATCACTAGAATTTCCACGGGAAATCAACATGTATCGAACAAAGTACCAACTCTACCCGCACAAGCCAATCAGAATCCCACAACGCCTTAAATGCTTAAAGAATACCACATCCATCATCCAGGAAGGTGGTGGAATCAAAGTAAAAGAGAGTGCATCGTTGGTTTTGCCCCAAGATGATAAAAACTGTTCAAATCACTGAAAAGCCCCAGGCAGGGTCACTTCTACAATGTGATCAGCATAACTATGCGTAGCTTGTGCCATCTGTTCGCTTCGGTGTTTTTCAGTCGGTCTGAAAGATGCGGGCTTGCTTCGTTGTTAGGGGGTTCTTCATTGTTGTGAGGCCATCGCTAGTGGATCGCTAGTGGGTTGGAGGCCATGGCTTGTAGGGTAGAGGTGATCACTAGTAGGGGGAGGCCATTAAAGAGATTACTGCACTTCTTTATTAGAGGGTTTTTCGTTGTTTTTGTAGATTCGGGAGCTCTTCTGCTGCCAGACCGTCGATCCTCGCCTGAGCGGATCCGAAGACGGGATAGGAGGGCCAGTGGAGATGGAGACGACGAAGGGAATTCGGATCGAAAAGACGGGATGGAGTCGCGCAGCGACGGGGTTTAGGGTGTCACAAGAATGTGTTTGTTGTTCCGGAAGGTTGGTTATAAGGCCTGGGCTTGGCATGTCCTTTGAATTCAATAAGTCCGTCATATGCCACTTTCAGCACAGGGACCGAAGCATTTGGAGGACACACGAGACACCAGCCTGACATCTCACCACAGTTCGTGCCTTTGGCTCCCGCGCTATCGCACGACTCGCAGCCACCTTGGCTCCCATGGCGGAGAAAGAAGCCCGCGGTGGGGGGCTGACTCTGTGGCAACCTGAGCCCCTTGGATGGAACACATTTTCCGGTTTGAGTGGCTTTGGCAGAAACGGTTTCTATGAGAGACCGAGAAAGAAAGATGCAGTCCTTGGGACTTAGATGATAAATCGCTAGTAGTAACAAGTGCCTTACTAGTAGTAACAAGGTTCGCTACTAGTAACAAAGTGCATCGCTACTAGTAACAAGTGCATCGCTAGTAGTAACAAGTGCCTTACTAATTCAATACTCCTTGTCTTGTTCTTTATGTCTAATAGCAATGGCCTCCAACCTAGTAGCGTCCTTGCTACTACTAGCGATGGCCTCCACCCTACTAGCGATCGCCTCCAACAACCTAAGTTTGACGCAGTCCTTGGGACCTACTGTGGTCAACATCCTAAGAGGTCCCAGCAACTTGCAGCGAAACGGCCTTCATTTTGGGGGGCAATCACCCAAGCATGAACAAGACAACCATTTGGGTCTTTGCCCGCAGATCACCATTGTCCAGTGTTCGGGCGACTATTAAGGTTGGAGGCCATTGCATGTCCTGGGAATCAGCTTCACATGGAAGAACTCCCGATCTTCCCAGCCGGCCCATTGCTCCACAGCAGGAGCCGAATAGAACGTCACGATCCGCGGTTTTCCTCACAGATGTGGGGGGTGGTCGTTTTCCGTGAACAGAGCAGAGGTATTGTTCCATGTGAAGCTGATTCCAGGACATTCCCAACATAGTGGTTCCAGTATGTTCCAGTAGCAAGAAGCTACTAGGGGTTCCTGGCCTCGCTACTAGGAACAAAGGACGCTACTAGGAGCTAAGGTTCCAGTATGTTCCAGTTGTGCCCAACATGACCATTTGTTGATCCCAGACTCGATGAGCAGAGCAGAGCTGAGCGGTCCCCCAGTTTGCAGGTCTACTGCCCAACTCTGTTACATGTGTCTGGACCTCAGGACGGTTGGCGACAGAGTACAGGTTGGAGGCACCATCGCTAGTAGGTTGGAGGCCATTGCTTTCAGAAACAAAGAAAAGATACTTAAGTGTTTGCTCTGCCGCTCAGCCTTGTTCAGCGGCGGTTGGCAACCTGTTTGGTTGCATCCTCTGATGCTCTTGCATCACATGTGGCCTGTAGCCATGGTCCAAGTTACTGAAGTCTAAGTTACACAAGTCTAACCTCCAAAAAGGAAGAAAGGTCCAATATAGTTTGCTAGTAGGTTGGAGTCGGAGGCCATCGCCACTCTGTTTCTACATGTGGAATGTGGACCTCAGGACGGATGGGGACAGCAACCAGCGGATGGGGACAGAGTCGAACAGAGGTTTAGACATCCATGGCTGGTGACAACAAGGTGCTTGTAGTAGCGATGCCAGGAGCCCCTAGTAGCGTCCTTGCTCCTAATTTTAAGGCCAGGAGCCCCTAGTAGCTTTTTGTTACTACTAGCGTCCTTGTTACTATTAGTAAGGCACTTGTTACTAGAAGCGATGCACTTGTTCCTAGTAGCCACTGTTTGCTTGAGTTTGACCAACATGTCTTTTTTTGTGGGATGATGTTCAAGACCCAAGCCGCCTTAGCCCCAAACCCAAACTGAGAGGTAGCCATGCTCTTTCTTATTCTTGTTAAAGAGCAATGCTTTATACTTAAGATCATGAAAGAGAAAAAATGAAGGGACAACGAAAGAAGACAAAGGAAAGAAAGGAAGAAAAAGAGGATCGGTCTGAAAAGCTGATGAAGGGTGTAGACCAACCAAAAACTGCAACCAAGCAGAGCTAGCGCGCCTCAAGACCAAGGGCAGACCGTGGTTTATTGGATCAAAATGGATTATTTCGACCACTGAATCTACATCTACACAACGTTTTCACGTTGGAGCAAGAAGCTACTTGGAGCAAAGGGCATCGCTACTAGGAGCAAGGACGCCACTAGGGGCTCCTGGCCTTACTACTAGGAGCAATGTTCGCTACGACCGGAGCAAAGGGCACGATGGACCCACTCCAGGCTTTCGCCAAAAGCACCGACCCGCAGCGCCTGTCCGGACGTCCGACTCTGTCCCCGCAGGTGATGAGATACCTTCCATCGCTGCTTGCGAGTGCGACGTGGGAAACGAAACCGGCCGCGACAGCCTCGAGGTCCAAAAGTTATCTTTTGATGCCATGCTCATGTGAACAAACTGGACGTCGCAGTCCTGCTTGGTACGGAAAGAATGCGGCTCACTGAAGTCCGCAAACTGGTCGGCTATGCTCGGGCTGATTGAAACTGAACTGACCAAAAGAGACAAATTGAAGCCGTTTTTGACTGCTTTTCAGGATGTTGCATGCATCTTGCCATCGGTTTTGCGATGTTTATGCGAATCAAAGTATCAAGATGGTATTGAGATAAGGAGACGGCAATGTAGTTTATGTTCATCCAAGATCGCGGCAGCCAATCTGGCCCAAAACAGTTCCACCGTCCAAAGCATGATGATCCCACCGTGCCAGGTGGTACTGCCATGCTCTCACATGAAGGTCCCGGCTCAATTGGCTCAGCGCTTTGTTCTGAGCAGAGGAGCAGTCTCGTATATGCCATCAATGACAACAACAGCCAGGCCATGGCAGAGCAGTGGTGGGGCGCAGCATGTGAGGGTGCAGCATGTGAGGGCGCAGCATGTGGCAATGACAACTCAACAGTTTGCAAAGCCACGAGTTGTTCAGGTGCATGCGAATGCACCCTTTGCAACACGCCCAGCGCAGCAAATTCAGGGATTTGGACAGACTGCCATGGTCAATGTGGCGAGCATGACCCATGCAGGAAAGTCAGGTGTTGAGGTTCTCGAACCTTGTGACTTTGCTGCAGCCAAACCTGCAGAAGACTTGGAGGACCTTCATTTGAAGCCAGTTGAGCTAGAAGACATGTATATTGTATAAGAAAAGTCTTCAAGGCAGCTTGGGGTGGGTTGTTTCTTTTCGGCCCAAGATGCCTAAGGTGAGGTTGCAGCGCTCCTTCAAGCCGGGAGATGCTTACTGGTGGACCTGCGCGATGGTGATCGTAACGTGGGAACTATCCGTGGTGCCATTAATGTCCCGGCCATCAAGCGGACCAACGACACAGTGA